ACACACACACACACACACACACACACACACACACACACACACACACACACACACACACACACACACACACACACACACACACACACACACACACACACACACACACACACACACACACACACACACACACACACACACATACACTGAGTGTTGTGGAAAATGGCCTCATGGCAGTGTAGCTTGTGGAATTAAGCGGGATAGAATTGCATGCAACTTTAGCAGATACAGTAATTCATGCACATTACTGTGAAGAAGAGTTTCCTGACAATATAAAAAAGTGTTCTTCAAAATCATTTTTCTTCTTGTATACTTGTACAATACAAGTAGTTAATACAGATATATATAACTCCATTTACATGTAACATAGGATAGTAACAAACAACTGGACAAAAGGGAGACAAAATCAACCTACAAAAAGTCCTCTTTTATCAATATGTTTGGACAAACGTTGATCTTCTTTAATGTCCTAAATATGTTTAGTGAGAAAAGAAGATGGTATATTTTTCTTAGTGTTTGGAAAGTCGACCAACTGTCAGAATCATATTAGTTTTTTATTTCTGACCTTGTTTTGTATGTCTAAGATACAATCGTTAAAAAAAAAACCTATTATTATGTGGCTGCAAACACTAGGTTGAACGAGCGGCAATCCTATCATCAGCACAATGTACAGAGAGCAACAGGCTGTTCACACACATGTTTCTGTCTTCCAGCTGTCTGTGTGTGTCCCTCTGACTGAAAGGCCTCTTGGACCTCAGTGACGGGCCCTGTTTGACCCTCAGCCCCAGCCCGGCACATCACACTGCTCTCCTGACCCCGACATGTGGCCCCGGGGACCCACCTCTAACCTCCTCTGACAGCTGTGTGTGACCAGAGGCCCAATGTTACATGTGGTCGAAATATGAACCTCAGAGGATACTTTTACTCTACATTTTAAATGGAGTAACCTATTTTTAGTTTGGTGCATTTTATTCTCAAACAAAGTAACAGTAACAAGGAAAACATCAACATCTGTTATTTTACTGGTGACCGCTGCATGCAAACCTTTTCTCCTCTGACTTTTGCAATTTGCTCTAATCCAGACTCCAGGAAATAAACATTAAGGACACGTTAATGAACACATAAAAAGTATTTATACCAATATTGTCAACAACAACAATGGTAGCCAATGAGAGCTACTGAAGCAATTTGATCACAGACACGCTAACGTATATGTTTTATGTTAAAAAGTGGACATAAATAGCATCTAATTTGGTTGGATCATGGAATAAACAATATTAACTTACACAACACTGAAATACAGGTTAAAAAGTAATTTAACCAGTTCATTAAATGCAGATGGAAGATTTTGCAGCTCTGGGAAAAACCTTGTAAATTATTAAATTAATTATTTCTTAAAAATCAATGGTTAAATTGGAATGAATACATGCCACCGATAGAAAGTCACCATCTGAAAATGTAAATAATAGTACATCACAATACTGCCAACACCGTCTGGTCATCTCTAAGAATTACACAGCAGCAATTACACAGCTAAACAACAACTATGTTGCCAAAACAACAACAAACAGGAACCTGTGGATCAATAAGAGAGAAGTCTAGACCGTGGAGGATGAGATTTGACAGCAGTGATGCACCAATCACACAAAGATTTTTCTCAGGTCATGACATCTGCACGGACATGACATATGTGTGTGGAAGGTGGGAACAGCATACCCCGAAACACATTCAGGTTTGGATGTTAGTCCATTTTGCATGCCACTTGCTGCATGTGGAGAGTTGATGGAGGATGAAGATAATGCAGCAGAGGAAAGTCCAAAGAAAACATTTATCTTCCTCTGAGGCCGACTCAGAGCCTAAAGCCAACGTCAACACAACCCAGCTCAGACTATATTGAAGGTTAACAAGCAAACGGATGCGTTGGATCTTAAAGAAGCTGGAAATAATTCTAACTTAATTGCTTGATGATTTGCTTGTAAAGTAACTTGGGTTATCTGGAAGATCTTGGTGAATGTTGTGTCAGATGAGGAAAAACAGATGGTTTCTGTTTTTCTTAAAAATGCTTTGCCTAACAGTTATAGCATCTTTTGCAATTCTGACAACGTTTTTTGCACGTGTAATCAACAAACACAACTGGAACATTTACATTTGTTGTGCATGTTAATAGTCTGCAAAGGCTAAAGTTCATGCCACAGGGAGTTTCTCTCAGACACTCCCCCTCCATGCCTGAAAAGCTTTGTTTACCTCTGTAACATAGTGACATCAATAAGTAAGACTTGCGCTTCCATTGGCTAGCTTTCCAACACATTGTACAGGATTGGTTTAGGGGCGGGACATCTCTAAGCAGTTAACCAATCACAACAGAGCTCGCTATAGCTAACTAATCAGAGCAGACTGGGCTCTGGTTTCAGACAGAGGGTGAAAAGAGGTGCTGCAGCACAGGCGGTATGAGAAAAATAAAGAGCTTTTTGAACATTAAAGCAAGGAGACATGTGACAGCCGAGGCACAACATACACATTTGAACCTGAAAATGATAATATGGCCCCTTTATAAGCAGCCTAATGATCGAACATTCAGTTGTAAACAACATTTTTGACTGGTGCTTGATTTCAGTAGTTAAAGAGTTCAAGCATCTTAAGAATGGTTCCTCCTCCCTGCCTTGTGTGTTCATTCCTGTTGGTCTTAAGGGATTGAGGAGGAGTGGTTTTGCACCAAGCTGACGCTGGATAACATCCGCCAATCAGCAGCTCAATCTTTCTAACCAGGCCAAACATATATAAACAGGAGGTGCTTTGCGTTTCCTTCCAAAACTAGAATCGAAAGCAGATTTGGGGGATTCATAGAGAGTGGGAGTGGACAGAGGGAGGTGTCTATGCAGTATCAGGAGAAGTAAATAACTTCTTCCTGAAACAGACTGTCTCTACACAGAGCTGACATTTACAACGCCAATTTGCCAATAACTCTCTCTTGTAGATTTTCAATTTTTGATGATGTTAAGGAAAACAGAAAGTTGGATTCAGGCTATTACATTAAATGTCACTTGTTAGATGCTTTTATCCAAAGCGACTTACATACTCAATACTGTGGACAATCCCCACAGGAGCAATTTTGGGTGACGTGTCTTGCCCAGGGACACAACGACATGCTGACTGTAGTGGGGTTTGAACCTGTGACCCCCTGATCCGAACACCAACGCACAACCCACTGCACCATACGCCACTATGATACTGTATACTCATTGTGTCCACATAGATATTGAACTGAAACCTAGATCACATGTGAGATTTTTGTAATGAAATTTCAATTTCAGCTAGGGTTAGGGTTTAAAGTTAAATTGCTAGTTTCCGCTTAGTTTCAGTTTAAATGTAAGTTAAAAGAAGGATATTGTTTGCAAATGACACAATCAACATTGCTGTGAATGAGACTTTCATTTTTACACTTAAGAATATTTCATTTCTTTTTTTGCGAACTGATTTGATTAGGTTTGACAGTTGACTAGTTAAGCAAAGTGAAATACACTATCTTATTGTTTTCATTTAAAGAAAAACACATTGAACTTGAGACTTGACACCCACTGCTCCATGACATAAGCAGACACATGTGGAGCAACAGCTGTGCTGAGCAGCTTGTGAAAGCAGCAGGATGAGCGGCTCGGAGGAAAGCAAAGCATGGGCAGCCAGTGACAGAAAGAGTACAGGAGAGCAGGAAAATATAAAAAAACCGAGAGAAACACCGAAAGCAAAGGCCATTCCCTGGAAAGAATGACGGATGAAGGAAAGCTTGTTAAATGCTAACGAATGGCTGCAAGAACTGTCATGGTCTCTTTGGGGCTGTTTGCACCCTAACACCACCTGGTGGTCAAAAGCACTTGCAGCATCAATAGAAAGCAGACAACAAAGGGTTGACAAAAATAGGTTTCCCTGAGAACGATGCAAAACTTTCTTTTATTATAAAACATTGACACTAGTGTTTCTGTGTCTGTATTTAAATATATCTATTTTAATAAAGGGACACTCTGATTTGCCCACATTTACCCCAAGCCATCACTGTATATAACACTGTGTTTATATGTAAATAATACAATACAAATTATTTCAACAGCCTTTACAGAATAGTGTCAATATGTAATGTGAAAGTAGCGAAGTGATTTGTAATAAATAAAATGCTTATAACTAGTACAAACAACTCAGAAAAGAGAACATATAATGTCCTAAAGTCAATCAAATGTAATGTGCAACTCCGTGCATGCTATTAATATCCACGACTATGACAATTAGAAAGACAAATTAAATGAAGACCAGACAGAAACAATTAAGTAAGTAAAGATTTCCTTTACGAAAGTTGCTTAAAAATGAAAGCAGTAAGCTTAAAATATTATACAGACATCAGCAAAAACTGAATTAAAACAGATATAACATAAATCAAACTAGCAAGAAAGTGCACAAGTCACTTTTTTGTGAATAATTTGTAAGGTCTAATAGTGAGAAGTGAACTAAAGTTAATAAGTAAAGACAGCAAATGCATGCTCTGGTCAGTCGACAAGAGACATGAACAAATGTCACTTGTGCGTAAGGCGCCGTGCTGGTGGCTGCCTGTTGCATGCAGCTCCCGGTAAACAATTTCCCAATTTGGGATCAATAAAGTACGATCTATCTATCTATCTAAATCAGAAATATCCCTCAGTAATAACTCAGGTTTCAAATTACATTGTTCTTCAATGGAGGCAATGATTACCGGCCATGCACTTTGTCTGTGTAACAAGATAACACCCTGCATTATATCATCCTAAGAAGAACGCCTCTGCCCAGGAAAGAGTGTAATACATTACAGTAATTGAGGCATGAACGCACAAAGTCATTTCTCAGCACTTTCAAGTGATAAAATGATCTGATATCTGATTCATGAACATTTTAATTGGATAAAAAGGCCAATCAAAAACTATTTAGATAATAAAATGAGCTTTGAGTATAACTAAAGAGTCACTGACTGAAAACAATTAACGCTGGTTTTGTTGCATGAACGTTTTTATTTCAATTAGTGCCGAGAAGAAGCTCGGAGGCATTCTGCAGCAATAGACATTACTTCTTTTCAAAAATCTAAACATTTCTTTGAGTTATTATCTTTTAAAGGCACCTGTTGTTACAGATTACAGTTTAATCTCTGACAAAGCACACCATTTGAGTATGACTTGATGTATGGGGATGGTCAGAAATAATAAATAATGAAAAGAATGAGGTGTGGTGATGAAAATATGCCATGATCTCAGCTGTAAGGAGAAAACAAAAGAGTGACAGAGTAGAGTGATGGGCACCTGCAAAGACAAACACAAAAAGAAACACCAACAAAGACATATTTAGCAGTTGATTGATCAAATTAAATGTAGTTACATGTACAAGTACCTTCGACGACAAACATGATATCCACTAAATATATGATTCAAGACATGAATTAAGCGCAAAAACCTTACTTAAAAAACAAATATGTACACATAAAACTGATAAGCTGTGGATGTGGTATCCTGTAGGAGAAACCAATACTTTTATTTAGATTTGATGTAAGCGATGTCAATGGAAATACATAGTCTCCCGAAACACATCACTTCCTGAGCTCTGTGCTGTAAAATCTCTTCTTATATTTTCCGCTTGAACACACTACAAAAATAGAAGATCAATACACGATGAGTACTGCAAAGGAATTATTGTATTTTCAGTAAATGACTAACAAAGAATAAGTCGTCATTGACATACAGTATGGTAAAAAGAAATGTACAGCAAATAGTCCAACAGTTTTCAAAATATAAATGTTGAGTCTTTTCTTTTTCTTTAGTGGATCCAAAATAGTTATCTGATATTTCATTAAACACTTTCTTCTTCACCGTAGTCTTCTTCTACACTTTCTAATTCACCTACTTCATTCAACATTCAAAAACAAGATAACCGTCACAAGTCAGAGTGACAACAAAGAATGAGGAACAAAAAGGAGTATTTTTACAGTAATGCTCCTTTAAGCTTCAACATACAAAATAAGTGTAAGAGTAAAAAGTAAAAAAAAACAAATCTCAGGATTTCAATAGCTTACATATGGAATGCTTAAAATCAAGAATAGCTGTGAAAAACAAACTCTGTCAATGTCTTCCTTTGCTTCACCAATGTAACCTAAACAGCAGAGTATTTCCTTTCATTATCCCCATCCCAGCACTAACTGTCTTTTTATTAATAAATTGTTAATTGCAGACTAGGAAACTGGAAACATCCCAGTAGTAGATGACCTCACCCCGGCCTGTCAGCCATTACGGATGTGTTAAAGACCGATGCTACCAGAATGACCTCTGCCTGCGGTCTGCTAACTGTGTACCGTGTGGTTTCGATGTCAGTGCTGTGCCAGTCCAGTGAATATTTACAAGCACTATGGAAGCATCAACAATAATATCATGTGATAGACGACGATGACGTTACTCTGAGCTAAATTCAATTAAACCTATGTATGTGAATGCAACAAGCTTTTCATTACATGATCTTCCTTCCAGACAAAAGTAAAACTACTGAAATGTTCTTGTGTGATGTAATAGTTTGACATTTTAAGAGCCTAAGCTTATTTGCTCTCTTACTAAGAGTTAGATAACAAGGTAAACACCAATCTCATATCTGTCCGTTCAAAATGAAGCAACAGGACAGGAAACCATTAGCATAGCATAGCATAGCATAGCATAGCATAGCATAGCAAACCCTAAAGACATGCAACAGCTAGCTTCTCCCAACTAGCCACATTCAGCGAGTCACTTTTTTACACAGATTATACAAAAGAGATATAGCATGTTGGGTAGTGAGCTTTAGAAGCGCTGGTAATGGATAATTATACTTTCGGATGGAAACACCTTGGTCATTTGACTTAGCTAAGCTAACTTCTGGATGCTACTTCATATTTCAATAAGCAAATATGAAATTGGTATCATTCTTTGATATTGCTTTGAAAAAACGATTTCTTTAAGTTGAATTTAGCCCTGAGAAACACAATAAAATGGTACCTTAAAAACAGTGAAAAGTAAAAGAGAAAACACAAAGAGGCAGTTTTTCATTTTCTCGATAATACAGCATATGTTTACCTCTTCAGCTATGTACAAGGCTTATCAACTTTCCGGGTAAACTAAAAAATCAAATCATCACAAAGACTTTCAATCTCCTATCAACTCAAATGAATAATATTGGCCTATGATATCATATGGATTACAATGATGGAGCACACCCAGGATACTTTTTTGCAAACACACAGCGTGTTTATGTCTTAATGTGTGCCCTTTGACAAAGAGGAATGATACAACTAAAATAAATAGACATGGCCTGAGTCTCCTTGGATAAGAAACTGCCTCTTTATTTGCCAATACGTATTCAGTGTTTCATTGCCTGAGAATTTGTCCACAGTTATGTTGAGATAAGTAAATAACTAATGGTGTCAAAAAATAATCTTCATCTAAACTGGTGTGGCAAGAGGTCTTTAATACTGAGAGGAATGATTTAAGGAGACTTCCAAACACTCGAGGATCCACCTCCCTCTGTGTCCTATCTCAAAGTGTGTCAGACCCAGTACTGGTTCTTTTTTAAGGCCGGGTTCGTTGTCCGACAGTCCTGCAACAACTCCGGGTCTGCGTCTTTGGAGTCCATGTTTGACATTGGGATGTTATTGGCCGGGTCAGTTTTGCGAAAGGTTTCTGTGCCGGTAGCCACCTCTCCGTTTTTGGGCTTTGATGCTGCCGTCTGGACGTTGTGTTTGCCTGTCTTGTTTTTACGTATCAAGTAGTAGGCCAAGACGGCTGCCAGCAGCAACAGGAGAAGGATGACCAGGATTGGGATGAGAATAGACCAGAAGCTGCTGCGCCGGGAAACATGTGGATTCCTGTCGGAGTCAACGCCTGCAGATGTTGTGGTGGAGGCTTCTCCATTGGGCCTGTCCATGTCACCATTCCAGCGGGGGCTAGCTTGAGTGGATCGAGGGGACCCGGCTACCCCAGGGATGTCATTACTTTCCTTTGATGGGCCATCTAAGGGAAGCCTCAACAGAGTGGCAGGGTAGACCCCCGAGGCATTGTAGGGGCCCGTCTGGAAGGAAAACACACATTCTGCCGGAGGAACCCCATGGGCTTTGAGCAGGAAGCGGGCCTCATCCTGAATGACACTACCTCGTGATCCAGAAGGGCTCTTCTCTAGGATTTCCATAGCTACGCGGCCCTCATCTAGCTCCTTTTGGCTGAATGTGTCCACTGGCTGACCTGCACCAGGACCTCTAGACCACACAAAGCGAGCCCCCTGAGGCTGCTGGATGACAGTGAACGTAGGGTTGGTTCTTGTCTTGTTTGCCAAAGGAGTTGCATCCAGAAGCTTCCTGTCGAGTTTAACAAGTGCGCCTTGAGGTAAGAGAGGATCCTGAGCGATGTTGGCCAGAGGCTGCACCGTGATGTTGAGGACAGAGGTGACATTGGCACCCCTGCTACGGGCTACAAATGCAACACTGTCCCGAGGTGAAGTGGACTTTACAAAGCGGACACTGACTCTGCCTTCCTTGATCTGTTTCTGGGTGAAGGCGGATGTAGGCTGCCGGTCTACCATAACAGCTGCATACTTAGGTACACTTGTGATCTTGTAAAGGATGTCCTCCTCAACAGGGCCCCCGGTAGTTACCTTCAACATCTCCTCAGTCACCAGGGTCTCATCATCGCCTTGCTTCACCTTGATCTCAGGGGCTTTGTCAAGAAGCAAGGTCCGAGCTAGGACGCCAATGTGGATCGTGTGTGGCTCTGTTTGGTGTTCTCCATCCGAAACGATGAATTCCATAGAACCATCGGAAAGGCTGCCATCGCTGACGAAGCCCACCTGCATATGATTGACCATCTCCTGTGTGAACTCAGAGATGGGGTCCATTGTGAGTCGGTCAACCACTCGACCGTTGCTGGGGGCTTTTGTCACTTTGTAGTATACCTCATCTGGCGAACTGTCCTCGTCTTGAGTGTTAAACTGCTTCTGGGACAAAACGGTTAGGGAGCCTTGGAAAACCTCCAAGAGCATGTCTACTGTTACTAGTTTTGGGGAGTCAGAGCCCCGCCGTTTGATTGCGATGTGAAATACCTCCTCTTGGACCAGCGTATCCGAAGGTGAGGCCACAGACTCACGCTTAAACTTTAGACTGGCGCTGAAGGAGAAGCTGTCAGAGGAAGCACCAGAGTCATCATGGAGATACTCCAGTTTTCCTTGAGCTAGGTCTTGCTGCTTAAAGAACTGGGCATCACCGGACAGGTCCTGACCACCAAGGGTGATACGACCGTGGTCAGGGAAATGCTTCATATTGAAAATCACATCCACATTGCCCCGCTTATCTTCAGGTAGGATAGCCAGAAGATTTGAGGCGTCAAGAATTGAATCGTCAATGGCTTTCCTCTGGCCTTGCACAATATCCAAACCTACAGTAAGGGGAACAAAAATGTAAAATGAAGATAAATGTCACTATCATTTACTATTTTAAATCAATGACATACAGGTTTTTTGGTGCAAACCATGCAGTTCATTTTGGATGTTGGCACATTAGGAAAGACAGGTGGAGGGACCGGCTTGTTGTTTTGGACATTTTTGCAAACATGTGACATTGTAAATAGAGTTGATAACATGATAACACTTGTGCTATTCAGTGATTCCCACTTAAACTAGGGTATCACTTAAATCCTATGCAAATGTAGGTATTCTCCAAAATGAAAAAGAAAAAGGTTTTACTGTTTAAACACAACACTATTCAGTTTCTAAAGTGTTACTCTGCCCAAACCATGTTGTATTGTTTACATAATACAAAAACATGAAATAAGCAGAGGGACTGTTACTTGAAATATTTTTTTTTTCACGGTATTCAGTATTATTGTCTTTTTTCTGTTTCAGGAATATGGCAAGCTAAAACAATATTGTCTGATTTCTGTTCTAATAAGACTCTTTGTTTTCTTTGACTGTTAACAGGTTTTTGCTGTAATAGATCATGCACGCTAAGCCGGTCTACCCTGTATGAATAAAGTTTTAATGATTGAATATGCATCTATTAAATTGACTAAAGACTAAACCTTCAGATTGCAACTATTATTTTAGGTGCAGACCTATTATGGGGCTTCACAGGCTTAACTTATCTTCTCTGCATCTCAATATCTGGGGGAATACTTGAACAACTGTGATTGTGGCAAATATGTTGATATGTTAAGATTTTGTTATTACACAATTTATCCTACCTTTGTTCCTCCACAGCTGTGAGGAGATGTTGCTGTGAGCGCCGTAGTAAGAGATGGTGATGGGCAAAATGTGACGGACGTCTGGGGCTGGTTGGGAGGACAGAGTCAGATCTATGGAGTCCCTCACAACCCAAAAAGGATCCTCAGGTATCTGGTGCTCATAGTACACCGCGCCTGACTCCAGCTGTGTGTCAGGGGAAACAAAATCAGAAGATAATCAGAATCAGAATCAGAGCTGTCGAAAACTTTTGATAATTGCATTATGTTATTTTTTGCCCATTAGGACGGGCCGCTATTGAATAAGATGATCATGTAAAGAAACATTTTCAAAGTTAGTTGAAAGGTAGTTCACTTTTTCATATCCTTGCTCATGTGTCTTGTGGAGAAATATAATAACTATTTAGTACCAGTAATTTAAAAAGAAAATTGGACTTTATTTTGGTCAAGCATTTTATACAAGAAATCATTTTTAAGTCAATATTTTGTCAATAAGAGCTTGCATTTTGAGCTCCTGTTTTCAGTCACTTGTTAATGACTTATTTTTTATTTCAGTAATTTGGAAGAGAAAGACATTTTAGTTTGGTAAAGTATTTTATTGCTGTTTTCCCTCTAACGTTTGTAAGAACCAGTTAAAGCTCAAATGGCAGCAGTGGTTTGGCTCATCTGTACTGGGATGTGACGGCCTCTGAGGTCACTGTGTCCTGAACTCAACTCTCCTCTTACACACAGAGACACAAAGCAAGCTGAAGAGTGTATTCATTCATTCACACAAACACACTGAATTACACCAATCATCAAATCAGGTTTTCAACTCGACGTAGTGTCAGATTTTCTGTCACTCTCTAAACAGAGCAGGGAAGAATTCTTTCTCATGCTCATTCAAGCACGGTCAAGATGTCAGGGATGGAAGTCGGATGGAGACAATAGTTAGAACACACATCGCAGAAGAACTCTGCCATGAGCCTACTGCATGTGTAGTGTTCAATGTACTCAATAAGCGTTAACAAAATCTATTAATTGCAAAAAAATTCCACAGTTATGTAAAAACAGTAAAAGATTGAGATTTGATTATATAATCTGAGTATTATAAATCACACTCAATGAAGAAAGGGGCTCTTTGAAATCAGGAACCACACCCAGAAAACACATAGGCCAATAAAGCCTAAAGCTTTTTATTTTACTGCCAATAAGTGTTAATGTTCTCTTCTTTGTGAGGTTACAACACAGTACAGTCAAAACTGAAAATGCTGTTAATTCCCTTAAAAATGCAGATAAAAAAAACCAAATAATTACAATTAAAATAATATATATACATTAAAAAAAAGAATTTATAGATCAATAAATAAATAAATATACATGCTTATGGTGACCCTAACCATCACAATGGCACTAAGTACATGTATCACTTGTATATAGACTCTTATGGCACTACTTCTATTCTATTTTATTGTATTTACTTGCACTATTTTATCTGTTTATTGTGTTGCACTGTTGGAGGAGCCTGGGACCTAAGATTTTCATCGACATAACTACACTGTAACTATGTACAATGACAATAAAAGCCTTGAACCTTGAACCTTGAAGAAGTCATATTCAATGAGGCCCCCTGCTGGTGAAGAAGAGGAACATGAACAAAATGGACTGCAATTATATATCATTGTCTGTTGATGTTTGGTACGGCTGTAATTTATGTAAAGGAGAACTTTTACTATTTAGTTACATTTCCACAAGCTACGTAATAGGTCGGTTTAATTTGTTTCTCTGAAAGGAACACATTTTACTTGTTAGGTGATTAAAGTAAGATTAATAAAGGTGAAACATTCTTTACAGTCATTAACAGTTCTGTCAACAAACACAAAGTTATGGCTCTTTAAATCTAAATAGTGTGAGCTGTACTATCGAGTTTATTGCATTGAATTTTCCAATTTAAATACAACACAATGCTGAGTAAAATCTACAATATTAAAAGTACAAATTACAGGCAGGGAAGTCAAGAGCTGCAACCACAAGCATTTAAATGACTTAATTTCCACCTCTGGGAGAGCGGTGAGATCAGCAGCACCAGTCGGTGTTGAAAGGAGGATTAGTTGCGTTTTTATGCATTAAAGTGGCATTATGTCTTCTTATATGTCTGTCTGACGTTCTCTGACGCAGACGACTCGAGAGCCTTTAACAGCTGTGACTACTTAGTAACACAAACCTGCTATTAATAGGAATGTATACCTGAAGGTGGAGAGGATTAAAGCTTTTTGAAAAGAAGAAAATGAATAATAACAGTTGAACTTACAGTGCACCCTAAATGCAACGGATCATTTCAACCAAAAATCCATCAAGAGATGCTTTCCCTGTAAAACATTTAATCCATCTTTTTCATTATTGTTATTCCCTTAATGTCTTTTAATGTTTACTTTTCACTGCTACTAATGATGTATTATTATCTTCAAAGGTTAATGTGGAACATTCATTTTAACAAGGGAGGAAAGGAAATTAGTTAATGTCTCCTAAAAGAAACACATCCATCCCAGACACACACGCACGCACGCACGCACGCACGCACGCACGCACGCACGCACGCACGCACGCACGCACGCACGCACGCACGCACGCACGCACGCACGCACGCACGCACGCACGCACGCACGCACACACACACACACACACACACACACACACACACACACACACACACACAGACACACACACACACAGTGAAAGTAATTACCTGTGTTTGTGAGAAGCGGGTAATTTCCTCGTATTGGTTTCTGTCGTTGGCCAGGATGAGTCTTCCCAAACGAGGGGGGCGGGTCAGAGAGTAGCTTATCTCATTTCCATCCTCATTCGTTACGGCCCCCAGATTGGCACTGGTGATAGACTGCCTTGTTCCTGTAATAACACACACAGACACACACACACACACACACACACACACACACACACACACACACACAGACACACACACACACTGAGTGTTGTGGAAAATGGCCTCATGACAGTGTAGCTTGTGGAATTGAGCAGGCTAGAATTGCATGCAACTTTAGCAGATACAGTAATTCATGCACATTACTGTGAAGAAAAGTTTCCTGATTTGGAGTTCACACCCGAATTTATCCAAGCTTTCAAAAATGTGACAACTCCTCTCATATGTCATGCATTACAGTTACGTTTATTATGAGTAGAGCTGAGGTTGACACTGTACTAGTAACTTCTCAAAGGTTCCATCTGGAGAAGTCGTGGTGTTTTTGACAACCAAAAATAAATGTACATTTTATTTCCAGAGTATTTACACTTGAAACTTAATAACTTCTCTGTGGTGTACTGGGACTATTTAAACTGCAAAAGGAAGATTAAGTTTAAAGTGAGAGTATGTTCCTTTTGTATTATGTAAAAAAATGAAGCACACACAGTAAAATCCGGAGTGTTAATTTAACACTCTGAGATAAGGACCATATGTTCACTGGCAGTGTTAAAATGACTCTTTAAGTGTTAAATTAAGACTTAAAGGGAGGGATTCAAGTGTTAAATGAACACTTTAAGAGTTCATTTTAACACTGAGAGCCAGTGAACATATGGTCCTCATCTCAGAGTGTTAAATTAACACTCCGGATTTTACTGTGCATGCACTTTCAATATTAAATTCGGACTTAAATAATGTAATCGTTTTTTTCAGCAACAAGCTTCCTTGGTCACTGCTGCAAAATAGAAATGCAGAAAATAATAAAAAAGTGTTCTTTACAATAATTTTTCTTCAAACTTGTACGATACAAGTAGTTAATAAAGATCTATATAACTTAATTTACATGTAACATAAGATAGTAATACAAACAACTGGACAAAGGGAGACTAAATCAACCTACAAAAAGTCCTCTTTTATCAATATTTTTGGACAAACGTTGTATTTTCTGTGTTGTTTCATAGATTTGATGATCGTCTTTAATGTCCTAAATATGTTTAATTTAATCATTTGTTCGTGTATGTAACTGAAGAAGTGAGAAAAGAAGATGGTGTATTTTTCTTAGTGTTTGGAAAGTCGACCAACTGTCACAATCATATCAGTTTTTTTATTTCTGACCTTGTTTCGTATGTCTGAGATACAATCGTAAAAAAAAAGACCTATCATTATGTGGCTGCAAACACTATAGGTTGAGCGAGCGGTAATCCTATCATCACTGCCGTCTTCACAACTTAAAGTCTGCAGGATTTTGGCGTCTTACCTGGAAACACCATGAGCTCCTCCTGCGTTACCATGGTGATGGTGAGAGGTCTGGCTGTGACGACAAATTGGTAGAGAGGAGACGTGTGTTCTCCGTCTGACACCGTGAAACTGAAGCCTCCAGACTCCTCACCTGCAGGGACGGAGGAGAGGAAGTGACTGACTGGTCTTATATATCATATTATTATTATACTTATTTATTTATATACACCACTTATTGTTTACTAAGCAGAAGGTATTTTAAAACTGGGTATTGTCTTAATGAAAATCACACTTATTTGGCACAACAAAGGGACAAAAATGACGGTGATATCTTGACCATGCTTGAAATGTAACTAAGCACAATAACTTAATGACATACTTCCTTAGAAATTCGAGGAACTTGCACTTCACTTGAGTTTGTCTATGTTATGCTTTTTTATACTTTTCTACATCTCAGAGGCAATTTTAAACTCTTTACTCCACTGCAGCTTTGGTTGTAGCTATGTGTTGAATTTTAATGTTTGCGATAAACTATAGGATTAAGGAGGAAATCCTCATACTTAGTTGAAACTATTTGAAAAGCCTCTTGGATCAGCTGGAAAATAGATTGTCACAATCACATTTAAAGATTTACTGTGAAATGAACACTTTTGCTTTTCATATTTCAACTACGTTTACGCAGCTGATTATACAAAGATCCTTTCTACTTATGTAACGTTTTAAATGCAGATTTATATAAGTAGTAAAGTATTTTAACTGTGGGTATTCGTTCTCTTACTGGAGTAAAATACACTTCTTCCACCATATACAGTATAGTAGGGGTTTAAAAGTGTCATGGGTCATAACCACTGTATTACTGTTAACTTTTGGAGGCATTCAGATTTCTTATTAGACACTTTCTAAGAAGATGACACATTATACAATGCTGCTGTAATACAAGCTCTCTGAGATAGAGACTGACAGTGGTCTAATATTATTATACATCGCAGTGTCCTCACCCTCATGAATGAAGATGACCTCCCCTTTGTTTATGTGAGACTGTGTGAAATTCAGGAGCTCCTCCTCGGGCGCCTCTTTCAACGCCACCATCCCATTGGTCGGCAACTCGACGTTGTACACCAGTTTCTCTGCAGCGGTGTCTGCGTCATCGGTGTTCAGCATGCTGGAGGTGATATCGGCCTCCTCTCCAGCAAGAACCTGTGAGATATCAGAGACACCAGGGAGAGAAAGAGAAACACAGATGAAAAGTTGATCAATGGGGACTGTCCACGACTCTCCACGACACTATAAACAAATAAACTAAACTGAACTAAATAGCGGTTTTCACCCTTTAAAGTGCTTATACCTAAAAAAAAAAAAGAAATCTGCATTCACAGATTAACACACATTCCTACAGAGATAGATGCTGCGATACAATGTGACACAGTCTGCTAAGGTAATCTACTGCTGGGGTTAAGTATCTTGCCAAAGGACAAATTAACATGTTGAATGCAGGGGCCTCTTGAGCCACAGCCACTCATGCACATAGTAGTAAGTCTAAATGAAGCTTAACGCAAGTTCAACCAGGAAGACCGTTTTTAGTCATTCATTCACATATTCCCAGTTTACTACTCTCTCTCCTCTCAATCAGAAATCGGGGGCGTCACTCCCCAGCGAAATCACTTTGCCTCTATTCCCACAAACCTATCGTAGTGCATTGCTAAACCTTTAAATCTGCTCTCTCCCCTTCCTCGCAGTTGTCATTTCAGGTGACTCAACGCAGCACAACGGGGTCTAATCACCGAATACCATTACATGCATCTGTGTATTCCCGGCAATAAATATATATCGTTACATCACAAAACGGTCTCTCCTGATTGAAAGAGTATCAACGTCATTTCCAAAGAAACAGTAAACAAAAGAATTAAAGAAATAAAAAGAAACTAAATACAAAAGCCTTGCATCAAACAGCAACCTCTGAAGAAACAATTAAAAAGGTTAATTATTTCTCCATGGCAGTCCAGACGCTCCTGTTATCAGAAGATGGAGCGCGGCTGAATGACTCTCCCTGGGAGGAGCGGGCTATAATGGACTTCTAATGGTTGGCTGGCTGAAAGGAGCATTAATTGAAAGAAATGGGCCAGATCCCCAGAAAGACATTCTTAAATAGCTGGAATCAGTGGGGAAGGTGAGCTGATGGGGCCCTGCAGTTAGAGGCACATATCGATCTCTGAAGACATTCACGCTCTCTTTCTCAAGACTCGGGATGAAGACCAAGAAGCCTTACGGTGAGAGGAGAAGACTCAGTTCGATATATTAAAGCTTCAGGTGTCAATCACTGAGAGTCGGTTATATGTAGACGTTAACTGAGGCTATGTGGCATGTGTAAATCCTTAATGTTTATTACCTAAAGAGTTCTAACACTAGTAACATATGGTCGCCATCAAAACGGAGATACAGCGTCCCACGGTTTATTACGTTAAGACTAATAAACTATTTTGTGCCCCAGTCAATCCCAGGTCAAATATACTCTAAAGAATCTTGAACATGTTGTCTTCAGTGATTGAAATGTTGTGTTAAATATCTGTTTCTGTATTTCTTGTCTTAAGTATGTGTCCTTGTTGATGCTGCAAATGGAGCTGCAGGGATTCAAGAAAATTGTCCGCCTTTCTCTGACAATGAAGTATTATTGTTTCATATTGAATCGTGTCGTATAGGTGGTGTTATTGACTTTTTCTTGTTGATTCCAGTTTCTCTCAACCTGCCTTATCCACTCCTATCCCAGTCCCCAAGATAACTTTAAAGACTTGTAATGACTTTATTTAATTTCGGCCCGCAGGATAATTTCTAATTCCTATTAGATCTGGCCCTCCGGTATATTGCACGCACACCTTCACTCAATCCTGAGGGTTTCCTCAGCTCAGAGCCTGACCCCAAACATTGATGAACTTGCACCCAAGCGACTAGTACCCATTTTTAAATGTTGGCCCACTGTGTATTTAAGTTTGACACCCCTGATCTACACAGTTACAATCTAGTTGAAAACAATACAGCAGTGAGAGCCTTGTCAATGAAATATAAACCATTTTTCAAATCAAGACTACAGCAACGCTCATAGCGGCTCTGCATGGTAACATCCTCACAATGCCATTTTTTACCCACACTTTGAATGTAAGTTAATTTCTCTGAGATGTTATTCTTTATGTTTTGTTTGGAGTTGTTCTGACAGCAACACAATCACTCAGTGCTCTATAATTTCTGGAATGTAGACGCGTCTCGACTGTCTCAGTATAACAAATGTGTTGTGAAGTATATTATTTAGTTGCCTTGAAGTGCTTGTAACATCCCATTAACTTTGACAATCCATCAAAGATTTATCATCGTGACACACAACGTCAAAAGAGGAAATCCATAACCCACCATTACACAAGTTTTTTGTAGTTCACATTTTTTGTAGATCGCATCTTTTCACAACAGGGGTTGACTTCACAGGCAATTTAGATTTTGAGTAAAAGCAACAATATTTTCAAGGTCTTAGCACAGTGTCTGCTGCTGCAATTCATTTAAAAATGACTGACTGCAGAGGTAATTGAATGTTTCAATACATAGAAACACTTGTAACACATACAAAATATGTTATTTGCAAACCAATTAAAGTATTTGGAGAAGCATAACCAGCAGTAGTATATCATTCAAACTAACTGAGAATCTTGCACTAGAAGGTTTCATTGAATTCTTCATCTTTGATGTGGTAGTAAATCTGTTATCTTGCTTTCTTTAACAATATTAAGAGCATCTTATCTGACAAATGTATACAAAAGCCTGTTCAAACAGGATCAGTTCAACATATGTTGTGATGTCTAAGTGAAGCAGAATAAATCTGGTTGAAAGGTAAACATTTTCAGAGTCCTACATGACATAAAACGGTATTTAAATGACTGTAATCGAATGTGCATTCAGCCCTGTTTCACATTGAATATAGTCATTTGAATGGGCGGTCTCAGTGCCAGGGTGACGATGTTTGGAAGTAAACAGGTGTCTAAATTCAGGATAATCTTTTGTACCATCAGATTAGAGGGGATAGACGCCGGCTGCATTCACAGACAGTGGGGAACCCCAGCTGCCACCCATAAAGTACAGCACCTGAGAGTTCAGCAGCTCACCCTGTGGCTGCTGCTTCCTGCAGTGACACCTATGGGTACAATAACCTTTCATGTGTCAGATTCCTGTTTGACAGAATGAGGGTAACCTGCCAGGAAGAGCTCCATAGGTGGCATGTCACCTTCAGAGGAAGAAAGTCACAAAAACCTCCCATACTGGAAATGCTGGTTCTGCATCACTTCAAGCCACTGATAGGTTGTGAGGGTATTTCTGGCAGAACTGACAGCGCTATCATATCAGCCTACACCAACAACCAGCATTTTATCCATCCTGCTCTTGAAGCCTGCAGAGAGCCTGTGATATCAGGCTTTCGGAGAATCTCTGCCTCCTGTGGGCAGTTTTTACATCTCAGGGCTGCAGAAAGCCTGATAGCTTGTCTGAGAGTTCAGCCCTGATGGGGGAGTGGAGACGCAACCTAAAGCCAGATCTGGACTCAGTTAGGGAGGATAGAAGTGGATCAGTGTGCCCTAAGGCAGGACACCCCCTATTGCAACATGAACAACACAGATGCTCTGTAGATTCGCTTTCTTTTGTTGCATCTCCTTATCAAGAGAGAAATGAGAGGCTGGTATGATATGCAGAGATTTTTTTATCTGATATCGCGCCACCCACCTGGACAATTTCTCAGTTTTAAAAAGCTTTGTTGAAAGCAAAAACTAACATGACAATACCTTAACTTCATTCTGTCAACACTACTAACAAAGCTGAAGATGGAGCGTGGGATCAACCTCCTTTCAAGATGCAACCGAGTATACCGTCTTCATATTGAGATACATTTGCTCTGACATACCACAGCTTCAAAACAAAAGCTTAAAGACACCTCAAACATGAACTAATTTCAGTAACTTTATCGAGAGATGTCGCCATTTATTGCCAACAGGAGGATTTTAAAAACAGTAGATGTACAAATGTCTCCATATTCCTGCAAGCAATTAGTTTAAACCTTCAACTAGAGAGTCTCTTTCACGCTCGCTGATAGGAGTGGATGGGAGTGAGTAACCACTTTCAACTGTGGTGTAATTTGGTTCTGGAGAACACCTGTGCTTCACCTGCAGGGAATTGGTCAATTAAAGCATTTGAAGTAAAGAAAAAGTAATATTTTTAGGGGGTTGATACAGTAAATTGCTCTTTAATCTTCAGGGAATGCTGCTATTTCAGATATATGAGGCCCAATATCCAACATTTCCCTAATATGCACCAAGACATTTTGAATATGAAGGGAGGGAGGCTGTGGCGCAGTGGGCTAGTGCGTTGGTGTTCTGATCAGGGGAGCACAGGTTCAAACACCACTGCAGTCAGCATGTCGTTGTGTCCCTGGGCAAGACACTTCGCCCCAAATTGCTCCTGTGGGGATTGTCCACAGTATTGAGTATGTAAGTCGCTTTGGATAAAAGCGTCTAACAAGTGACATGTAATATAATGAAAACACAGTAAATGTGACACTTCAACTCAAAACTGGGTAAGACATGTGAGATAGAAATAGTAGTTTAACTATTCTATTTGAGTCAATATAAACCATTATTATTTCCTTCTATCGCTACAAAGGAACAATCTGTCTCCTCCAAGCATTTTCAAATGTAGTTAGTTATTCACTTTGCTGCACAACAGCTTTAATCATGAGACGTATTTTTAGAATCATCTGTTAAGAGCAGAAAATGACATTTATTTCTATTTTTTAAGCACTCTTGTGAAAATAATTTCTCAACAATTAATTCACATGCAAGCTTAAGGCAAATCCATTGATTAAACGGCTATAATTACAGTCTTATGTAACACCCACACAGGAAGTACGACCTCCCGAGGGATAGAATCGCCTGCAGAGTTACAGTAAAAGGGATTTCACTGTTTTTGTAGCTTGTTTCTTTCTGTTATAAATTAGTCAATCAATTGTGCGCTTTTATAAATAAAATGTGTGTGTGTGTGAATATATCTGAGCAGCTGATTAGAGACAGTGCTTGTTTTTTAACACATGAATATTCTTTTTGTATTGCTCTTGCTCTTATTGTTATTATGTTATTATGTTGCATTGTTGGAGAAGCCTGTGACATAAGATTTTCAACTACATAATTACTCTGTAGCTATGTCAGATTGACAATAAAGAACCTTGAACCTTGAACCTTGAATGTTGACCATTTAACGTCAATTGGCTAAACTTTCTATTAAATACTTTTACTGTAAGAAACATATAGAAGTTCCCAAACTGAAAACAGAATATGCACTGTAAATTATACTTATTTAATAATGAAATACATGTTAATATTTAAAATTAGGTCACATCACTATAACAGTATTGTCAGTTATATCTTTTCTACAGTGCAATACACACTCCCCACCACTAGATGTCCCCATCAGCCTGCTCTACACACACAAAGCAATCTAGGGCAGGTACTCGGAAAATGGCCTTGCAAATTGATGCTTTATATAACAATCAATGCATTAAGCACCTTAGAGGATGGGCTGCAAATTCAATTTTATTGGACACAATGGCTGATATTTCATTTGGAGGCAGTAATGAAGGAGCTGCCATAGGCCAACGACTTAGTTTGCTGATGACTCAACAGGATACAGCCATACTTAAAATGTTTGAGACTCTAAGGGGCGCCAGATGTCTGAAGCAGTGTCCCAAACTGCCTGGGCATCCAACATCTTGGCTGAAGTACTGTAAGTACAAGGAGGAAATAGTATATTTTGGGGAAAGGCAACAACAGGATGATGTTGATAGTTTTTGTCAATACCTGAACTGTAGAAAAATAACAGTTTCCATTTTGATTTTGGCTCCCCATCTGCAGCTGTGGGATTTCTCTGTTAGACATATTGACTATAGTGTTACATCTCTCCTGCTCTGATGAGAGATGAAACAACAGAACCAGTACTCAATCTGTCACTCACTGGTCATGTTCAGACATTACAAGGGAGGGACTAGGCTGGCATTACTTTTTCTTGGGGATATTTGTGTAATTCTGGAAAATGTGAGTCAGAGAGGAGGAGGCAATGGCAGAAAGTCTGATACAAAGATAGATAGATAGAAATATGGATAGATGGATGTGGATAGATGGATAGTACATGCTTGTGGGAGTGGGAATGCAATATAATATTTGACGACACACCTTTTTTAACAACACATTTTTGTTTCTATCCTTTTCTTTGTTCTTGCATTTTATTTTTTACCTTTTTTCATGTTTACATATTGAACGTAGGGCACTCAAACCCTGACACAATTAGTAAAAAAAATGATTTTACAGGGAAAACAAATGAGATAGATAGCCTGACTCAGATTGAAAACTATTTTGAGATACAGCAAAGTGAAGTAGAGCCAGACCGAGAGGAGTGTAAACTCTAATGGAGACCAGCTGTATCCTGCAGACTGGGCCAACTGGGATCAATGGAGATCCTGCACAGAGCCTGATCCCAACCATGTTACTCATCGTGTCTGATCATCTGCTGCAGAGGTCACTACACACGCACACTTCCTGCTTTAAATCAATCTGAGCGCCGCTGCTGGGATAGCTCTGGCTCTGTGTGTGGAGACATCCACATATCATTATGTTACCCTCCGCAGCCGCAGAGAGGAGGCTCAGGGATTGGATGCCGCCCTCACCCTGCCAGAAAGCCGTGGTCTCTGCGACCATCTTGGTTTTCCAAAAATACGGGTTGCCAGGGCGACGTGGAGCCGCAGGCAGAGCAGGGAGGGCTGAATGGCACAGTGGGTTTCCACTTCTGTGAGCTGATTACTGCTGGATTTTTCCATCTGCCTGCCTGCTCTTACAGTAGAATAATTGATCCTTCAAAACCTTTCTTTCATGGCTGAGCTGAATCAGTTAGAAAGCGTCTACCAAACAAACTCTGTAAAAAAAACGACTGTACATTCAAATCTGTAAAAAGACTTTGAACAAACACCTTTTTTCACCAACTAAACGTTATTATTGTGATGATGATAGTTTCCAGTGATAAGTTAAAGAGTTATCAGAGTTATCAAATCCATTAATCCCAGCATAATTTAAAATAGTTATTCTGTATTATTACTCCTCAATTAGTCTGATGGGACAGTTAAAAGCTGAGTTTAAATGAACAGATGTGTTTTCATTACTAGTTAATGAGGGACTAAAATCCATTACTTGTAATCGTTTAATATAGCCCAACTGTAATACATGATACAAATTAAACAAAATGTTTAAAAGGCAACAATCCCAACGTTTCTCTCTCACCCCCTTCCCTGAAACGCCTCAATTTAACTCCTTTGTTTACTTCCTTAACATAATAGGAGCTTTCACACTGCAGTACTTTTCCCACAAAGGTTCATCAGAACTTAGTTCATGAGAACTGTTTAGTTCTCATGAACTAAGTACAGATCGCGTTCACACCGGAATAAGTCCCTGAGGGAGGATTAGGCAAATGAAGCCGCTGACGTCAATTCTTCTTCTTCTGCTTTGGGTTTACTGGCAGGCCGCAAACAACTTCACGGCGTATACTGCCATAGATATATATAAACACTAGATGACTCACCATCTAGTGTTTATATATATCTATGTATACTGCCACCCGAAGTCCCCGGCCGGAAGTCCCCGGAGTTGAAGCCTTCCGAGTAAATCGCCAGAACGCCGACACCTCCTCATCTCCACCGCTCCCATGTTTTATTTTGTGTTGCCATAAGTTAGTCTCTCTGCGTTTGTGCGCTGGGCTAATGCTAATCGTAATAATGCTAATGCGAGGATAATAAAATGGCGGCTTCACAAAACTTTTTGGGAGTTTTACGGGGCGTGGTTTGCATTCTGCCCAGCCAATCAGAAATAGGAACCTTTTTCTCCCACAAAAGTCCCTGCTCTCTAGCAGGGACGGAAAAGGGGGTAAAAAAGGTTCTCATGAACTCATTTTAGTTCCGGATTTTTTTTATGTGAACGGAACATTTCGGAACTATATCGGAACTAAAGTGGGAAAAGTACTGCGGTGTAATGACAAGCACTATGTTAAACCCGCGCTTCTATTGGCTAGTGCTCCAACACATTGAACGTGTTAGGCTAAGGGGCGGGACAACTTTAAGTGGTTGACCAATCACAACAGAGCCGGGGGGCTAACCAATCAGAGCAGACTGAGGCACAGAATACAAATATGAACCTGAAAATGTGCGTAATATGTCCTATCTAACTAAATTCAATGATATACTGAAATATGTTTCCAAATGAGACATTATATAATGTCCTTTGCTTAAAGTTATGTATTAAATCTGGAATTGTGCATAAAACAAAGTATATTTGAGATAAAGGTACATAATGTGAGTATACCTTTGTTCTATCAGTTACATCTGATATATCAGCAGATGTGAAAAAGCATTCAAAGGATTACAGATACTTCATACAGTTCCTGTAATACTGCTTGACATTGCACTAAGTGCATTCAGAAGTAAATCACTGCCCTCTTATACTTGAGGCTTACATGATTCATTTGCAACATTTTAAAGCAGTCGAGCTGAGAATATGCTAATTCTCTTCTACTTTACGGCTCCTTATAAAAACAAACATTATATACTGTGGAGGCCACTGCTGAACTGATGCAGCATGTGTCATTGTTAGGGAGGTCAATATGTTTCTGCTTCCAAGTAAAAACTCTCTGCATTTATTATACTTTTTTACTAAATAAAAATAAATAAATAAAACTTGATTTGATACTTGAGGCATGAAGTAAATCTATTCTCACTTCATTCAGGATTCACACTGCAGTTCAAGATATACAGTATAGATGTGAAAAAAGTTCATCCAGGGTTCAGATTTAATTAATTATTAAAACATACGATTTTCGATCAACTTGAACCTATACCGGAAACTATTCCATACAACACAAGGCCTTTTAAGTCTTTGTGATTATCGTGACTTCTAAATTGGCAGTTATACTTATTTTTTGTCTGAAAATCTAACTTAATTAAAATAAAGCATCAAGTCAGTTACATGATCATTTACATGCACACATATTTATATAACACAATACAGGAACAGGAAAACCCAAAAAGCACAAATAGGCCTCTTTAAATCTCTGCTAGAAGTCACCCTAAAGCCAATTGTATAGCCATTTATATGCCTTTCTTTCATATCTTTAGTGACTTGGGCATCAGACCAATCATGCAAAGTCTTGATCATGTGGGAATGCCTACAGTTATCACATGTTCTTCGTTCTTATTTCCAGCTTATTGCAGGAACGAAAGCAAATATATACACAAAGGTAACATGAAATGAAATGAACACTGGAACTCTGTAAGGAAGAAAACTTATTTTCTCCAAAGTTTCGTCTTCTTAGTATAAAATACTCCCTTGTTTTGAAAGGTCGCAATAAAAAGTGTGTTCTTTCCTTCCTCATACAAAGTGACGCTTGTGGTCAGCTTGAATTCTCATCACAAGAAAAGTGCTACAGGAAAATAAAAGACTCCAACAACTTTTACTTTTTATAGCTAGAATTTTTTTCCAACAGCAACAACATTTACAATTGTTGGAGGAAAGCTCAAAGTAGCAGCAAAAAGAGCAAAACATTACCTCCAGTCCCGTGTTACGTGTCAGTTTTGGCGGCTCATCGTTGACTGCTATGACAGTCACTGAGATGGTGACAGGGAGGCTCCGGCGGTCGATCTCATAAGCCGAGGCAGAGAGTGTAAAACTGTCCTCTGTGCTCTCAGTGCTGTCATGCATGTAGTAGATGTGTCCGAGTTTTATCTGGAGAAGACAAAAAGGATCCAACTGTCACTCAATTTTGAATCAGAACTTAATTGTAGGAAAGGCATAACATAGACAGCAGGCGTGAGCCTAAAAGGTGGAATACAATTTTAACAGTGTGACAATATCCAAAGAACAGTAAGAAACACCGAACCATCCTATCCTGGTAAACCAGTACAAACTGAAAAGAAAGTCAAAAGCAACTCACATTTGCTTTTTTTCTCTGTCAAATTCTTAATTTGATTGAAATGTTTCGATGCACAATCCTCTCAGATATTTCTCCTTGTTCTGATACTTGGAATTTCAAATTTCACTCATGATAGTCAGTTTTATAATCATTTCGGAGACTTCTCTGCCTGTGAAAACATAATGAATAATCTCTCTTCTGTGGCTCTGGGGGATCTAATTATCTCAGCTTTGGCTTGGAGACAAATTTATAATAGAAAGCCAGTGTTACAAAGGGGAGTTTGAAACTTGAGGGATTTCTCTAGACCGAGAGTATCTGACAAAAAGATCCTGTTGATTGCAATATGGGGAAGAAAGGATCTAGGATCTAAGGGGTTTAGACCTATTGGGATTAAAAGTCAGAACATCTCTTCCTCTGCTGCTTCAACTTTTTACCATTGTTTTATGAATCTGTCTTTTGTGAGCCCACCAACTTTATGGAAGCAGTTCATCTCAAGAGTATGCCTTTATATCACTTTCTATCCTATGTCATCTTCATATGCAGGACTTTTTTATATTGTACTTATAAGCAGTGGCGTAGCCAGGAATTATTGTGTGGGTGGGCCTGGAGAAATGTAGGTGGGCCAGGGGGAGACTTATTAAGCGTGGGGTCTGAGCTGAAACTTAAATGAATGCACTAATTAAGCATAAGCATAAGCCTAGCAGTGAAAACTAAAACATAGGCACGGCGGCCTCAGAATGTGTGTAAAACTGACATCCACATGACTGGCTCTGCGGCCACAGGTTGTTTATCCTCGACAGTCGCACAGTGGGCACACACTGAGAGTCTTTTCATATTCAGCAAATGTGTACACGCTTCACTCCAGACCTCAAGAAGAAATAAGACTTTCATTCACTCACGGCAAAACTTACTTTACTTACTAATTTACTCACGGTAAAAAGAATGCACTCCCTATTCCATTGTCATGAAGGTGGAATCTAACTATATCCAGAATAAGTTTTATTGGATCCAGGCTAGAAACCTGTTTATTTCTGCTGTAAAGTTGGGCATTTTAACATGGGGGTCTATGGGAATTGCTCCTTTCTGCATCCATCCCCTGTCGGCCACTAGAGGAACTGCAGTTTGTGGCACTTCCTTCTGGGCTTGTCAGGAACGTCAAAATCGCTATGACGCGCTGATTGGCTGATTAGGCAAATGAAGCCGCTGACGTCACTTCTTCTTCTTCTGCTTTGGGTTTACTGGCAGGCCGCAAACAACTTCACGGCGTATAATGCCACCCGAAGTCCCTGGCCGGAAGTCCCCGGAGTTGAGGACTGGCTTCAGTAGAAGCTGCTGGGACTCCCAGCTGCTTCTGAAGCCTTCCGAGTAAATCGCCAGAACGCTGACACCTCCTCATCTCCACCGCTCCCATGTTTTCTTTTGTGTTGCCATAAGTTAGTCTCTCTGCGTTTGTGCGCTGGGCTAATGCTAATGCTAATAATGCTAATGCGAGGAAAATAAAATGGCGGCTTCACAAAACCTTTTGGGAGTTTTACGGGCCATGGTTTGCAATCCGCCCAGCCAATCAGAAATGGGAACCTTTTTTCTCTGAAAGTACCTGCTCTCTAGCAGGGACGGAAAAGTGTGTGGAAAGGTTCTCATGAACTAAATTCTAGTTCCGGATTTTTTTGGTGTGAACGCACATTTTCGGAACTATATCGGAACTATACTGGGAAAAGTACTCCGGTGTGAAAGCGCCTAATTGATCTAGAATAACGGCATAGTATTACCCAATTTAATCATGAGTAATTTAATCCTGTAGGTAAACATGAGTTTTTACCTCATAGCATAAAAAGGAAACTTGTTGCTTAGCTTTTGTTTGATTAAAGAAACCGTTTATAACGTGTTATTGAACTTTTAATGTGCTGGATTTATTTTTGAATGGAGTGAGGCTACCTTTTTCATCCTGCTCCAAGCCTTTTTTCAAAGCTAAGCTAACTGTCTTTAGTCTGGTATTTGAACAGACTGATCACACATTGTGAAACAATTCCTTTAAGGGTCTATGCTTCTAGTAAACAAGAAAACCTAATTACCCTTTTTCTAAAAGACCTATATTTCTTTACGGTATCCAATATATCTTTTGTTGACCTAAACAGATAATAGATGTTTTCAAAGCTTTTGAGATAGAGGCTATACTCAGGCCTTAAAGTCTGGCAGCAGCACAAGAACAAGGAGAATCTCTCTTATGGGACGAAACCTTGAGGGAAACCAGATGCACAAAGGAATCAGTCATTCAGTCTGAAGTGGGCTAGATAGAGAACAGCACCTGCGGCCAGGCCAAGCCAACTCTGTTCATTTTCTGCATACTGAACAGGACTTACAGCAGCCAGCATCTTATATTCTTGTTTCTCAGTCCTAAGATATCTGGATCACATAATCACACCTGATACTACCTCAAGACTCAGGATCCTTGTGTGCAAAGAGGAAAGTTGGAACTTTGTCTTGACAAAAGCCAGTAAGCTGCTGTGATGGGAGGACCTGCTTCAGAGAGCAGGAAGTGCCAAATGGATCCCATATGACGGGCAACCTTCTGGAATAACAACCCCCATCAGCAGTACTGATCGGGGAAAGCCAGCGAGACAATCAGTCTGCTCGCTGGGACAATAAACAGTAGGTGGTTGTTGGACACGTGGCATTAAGATTTACTCAGAGAAAGATTCATGCCTGTGCCAATGTTTATTTTATTTTGAGTTTTGATTGATGTATACCGTCAAGTTCTGTGTGCCTACTGTATTTTGGAAAATTAGTTATGTAAACTCAAGAAGACTTTGTTCCGAAAACATTTTGTCCTCTGTGAAAAAAAAAGATGCCTGTGTGGACTTTAATAGGTTTCCACAGATGGAGGACGTAATTGAGACCCGATGGAGAGCTGAACCTGATTAGAGTAAAGGTGTATTGGAGGAAAGTGTTTCAGATGTCCTATTTTCCCTCAGGTTGGATCCCACTCAACAATGCCTATGTAACAGAATGTGCTTGGAACTTTCTTGTTCAAAGATGGAATATATCGTAGTTGGCTCTGTGGTTAGGAAAATGCCTAACATTGTCTGACACAGAATCTCTGCTTACAGTACAGTACAGTATGTGACACATCCTGGCCACATGGCACATAGCTTACTGTAGAGTAACTTTACATTCTTGTGGTTAGTGTTCATGTCGATTTTCTGATGTAGACACTCACGAAAACTCTCAGTTTTTCTCACTGCACACCCACAATGTTAATGTACGCTTACATAACCTCAGTGAACTACCCCAATTGGTGAGTTTATCGCACAATTACTACACACACCAGTTAATCCAGTGTCCTGTCCCAAGGTCACGAGAGACTTGAACAAAGCTTGAAACAACATAGAACATAGGGGGGGGGAAAAACCCTATACTACAGAAAAGTGAAGACACATCCAACTTTGATTTTGAAGCAATTACGGTCTGGTTTAAACCTAGTGCCGGCTGTGGCTAGAACATTTATTCTCCAATGTGGTACTCATTTGGGAGGAATGAATTTTTCCTTTGTATGTTTATAAGGAAAACAGTAAAAGAGTACCCACATAAAAAAGCAACAAAAATTAAAAAATGTATTGTCTTTGGGACATGTCTATAGTGGCAGTTAAGGATATGTTAAATTATATGCTTCCTTGCCACCTACGTTATCGTTACGCTTAAGACCCATTTGAGATTTACATTGGGATCTTTGAAATTAAGTATGGGTGAGTCGGACGGTAGGAAAGCGCGGGACTTGTGGCCACTCATACATTATTATAGGGATATACCGGGCCAGTTTATTTTGGCTTCAGGCAGTCCAAAGGCATCGTCAGTTTTTCCACAATCCTGCAGCAAAGTAGAGCAGAGTAGAGGCATACTGGGGCTACATGTAGGAGCAATATGATATGTCTCTAACTAGCTCCAGTAAGCTATGTGGTCCATTCAGAATGCACAAGGATTTTTTCACCAGTAACTATGCATACATATTTCATATTTTCCCATAGCTGGGGACCCTGAATCACACAGAATGAGACCAGGCAACTGTGATGTAGCAGCTCCCGTGTTCTCCCTCTCTCCTCTCTGTCTGGTAAAAAAACAACACATCCAACAAAGCACTGAGAAGTAAGTTTCATGGGGAAGTCGTACTGTGTAATCCGCCTAAACAGCCAAATGATCCAGTTTTGAGAGATGTTATACTCCCTGGAGTCATTTAGAGAGTATTTAATATGAATTATTGGTTGTTTTTTAGGTGTTCTCTGAAGTCTTTGGCCCAAGACATACTAAAATATAAGGTTCCCTAAAATTCAGGCACAAGAGAAAATGTCCAAGTTTTCGTGGGGTTAGACCATAGACATGTGCTTATATGGTCAAACCAACCATTCTGTAAATAAAAAGCCTCAAGTTTTATGATGCAAGCTTAATAAAAAGGGCAAAAACAAATGTCAGACATTTGAGGGTAAAAAAATCAGGCAAGGGAAACCAAATGGAAAAACACAATGAAAAAATGTAAGATGATCCATCAGCATGTTCTCCTATTTATGTTACAGTAGTTTGTGGTGAGGCTGCTTCGTCAAAAATGCCGGGCTAATATGCAGATAACATGTAATTATAGAGGTTAATACATGTAAGTATACACAGAAAACAAATATCTAAAATATAATGCAAATAGAGAAGAGGAGATAGATCATTGACAAAGGCCACAATGACGCATGCTCATTATCAATTAAAGGGGACCTATCATGCAAAATGCACTTTTGTACGTCTTTTATACATGAATATGTGTACCCGGTGTTCCAGGGAACTCACCAAGTGTCAGAAAACACAACCCTCTCTATTTTACTCCATACCCAAATCTCTAAAAAAGGGGCTGCAACGGATCTGATAAAAACTGATCCAGATTTGAACACTGTCCTGACGTCAGGACGGTGGCGCTACGGCTATTGGGCCAACTCCACCAATCAGGAGGAGACAGCCACGGCCATTGCCATTCAAAAGCGCTGGAGACGCTGTAGTACATATGCCAGGCCTGTAGATGGTGCTGTTGCTCACAGAATCAGCCCTTGCAAAAACAGAGCTAGAAATTGTCAAATTGAGCAAAATGAGGCATGGCTAAAATGCATGATCTGTTTGGTATTTTGAAAAAAAAAAAGTATAAATATGCCTTATATAGGTATGGTCCTACACTATATTATTCAAATGTAGCATGATAGGTCCACTTTAAGCTAGTATAATGAAATAAGATGGTCATCAATATCAATCAATGATAAAGAAGTGTATACAGTATAACTTGAATGAGGATCAAGATGTTTAGAGATCTTTGGTCAGATTTTGTTGGAATATTTATCTGGATATCATCATATCATAACGTACCTCTTCCCATGTAAAGTAAACAAGTTCGTCTCCATCCAGGTAACGGATGTCCCCGTGCTGTGGTGCCTCTTCAACAACAAAGTCGATGTTTGCTGAGCTGTAGAAGGGATGTGAGATGTTAACAATCTCTGCATTGATCGCCCTGCTGAGGCCTTCCTTCACTGTGAAGTTGAAGGTCTGGATGGGGATGATCCGCGGCACGATGTTTACAGAGACGTGCAGGTCCTCCACTGTAGTGAAACCATTACTGACATCAACTGTGAAGGCGTCACTGCCCTGAAAGAGATGGATGTTCAAGTAAGTTATTGATCTACTAAAAATAAACCTTGTACCTTTGACTCATCAGAGGCTGAGGTTGTCTTTTGTCCAATTGTACTCTCAGTGTGAATATTAAAGGGAACAAGCTGCCACAGCTGATTTACTACCACAGAATAAATTAAAGGACATCAAACCTGGATGGATGCAGACACATAAAGAATGTGTCCCTGATTAATGTCCTCTTGAGTGAAGGAGTAAATGTAGTCGAGGACAGGCGAGTCTGGGCTGTCCGAGTTGTTGGTCAGCTTCACCACATGTCCGAAACGAGGAGACTCTTTGATGGTGAACAGCATTTCTGTAGGAAGTATATCAGCTTGATCCACCTAGAAAGCAAAGACACAAACAGTAAATTTATTTTTAACTTCTTTATATGTCAATGTGATCATCTAAGTGTGTGTTGTAGTGGATCTATTCAGCTTTCTGACAAATTGAATATACCCAAATAGGCTAATACACAATAAAATAGTTTGCCTTTTTACCCTTGGTAATGATAGACACTTTTGTCTCAATGCATGAAAATACTCAGAGACGGCAAAAATAAGTGAATGTTGTGCAACTATTCCAGTGACAGTTGGTAAAAATAAACTCATAAAACTTTAAATTCTGTTTTCCTTAGAAATTGGCAGCAGTGTTTCAATGTTGCAAGACATTTGGCTTTGAGGACAGGAGCAGTATTGTAAGTAAATGTCAGCACACTTCACTTATTCGTTTTATTTTCACTACAGAAATAGGGCACTGTCAACTTTGTTGCACATCATACCTAATGTTACAAGTAGCACATGGTATCGGATTGGAACACTGTGATAGCATGGTGAACAAAAAGACATTTGGTAACATTTAAAGTCATGCTGCAGATTTATAGTCATCCCACTGAGAGGATTTAATAAACTCTCTGGAGCTTGAAGGAGTGTTGAGCAATTGTGCAGTACTTGCATTTGAGCATAATTCAAAAGATCATACTACTTTTTAATTTCATAGAAAGCAAACACATTGGAAAAGCTCCCCGAAGCCAAGTCAATAAATTGTTGAAAAGCCCAGTGTTTTAAAGCTTTGTTCAAAACAACATGTGTATTATGTGTTTGGGTTTGACTCCAGACAATACTGCAGATCTCAAATGTTTACGATAAAAAAACTTAAAAGAATATTTTACTTTCAGAAATGTCCCTCCCTATTTTAAGTCAAAATACATGAGAATGTGTCATGAATTGACTAAACATTTTAACCTCATTAATACATTCAAGATGAAGTGCAGGCAGGCTCATCCTATAAATTAAAGTGGGCTTCAGGAAGCTCCTCAGGGGATACTTAGGGCTCTATTTTCCACACTTAATAGACCGCAATTTAGTGTATAAACTAGATTAAAAGCAGCAACTGCACAGTCATATTTAGCCCTGCTTTCATGTGGTGGTAATGTAGATTAAAGACAGGGCTACAAAACAGGGCAGTATGCTTGAAATTAGTCATGTGAAAGTTCTGTCTCACAAAGAGAAAAATATACTTGAATAAGACAAGATGTGTCAGATAATTCCTGCCAAGTTGTGTGAAATGCTGTCTAGATTAATAAAAACAAATGTGTGTTGTAGAATAAATGTCTAAATATGTGAACTGTAGCTCTCAATCACATATGAAAATCTTCTAGTTAGCAAAAAATGAGTTTTGCTCAACTTAGGTCATGTAAGGGGTCAGTAAACATTACCTTGAGATTGTCCTGGTTGATTACGGTGTGCTCTCCCTCATAGGAAATGATGACCTCATTGTTCACCACCTCAGGCTCAGAGAAGTAACCTTGCTTGAATATTCTTATCCTAAATGTGCTGTCCTCAGAATGTCCTCTTGCTTGGACGGTGAAGCCGAAGGAGTCCTTGGACCTCAGACTCTCGTAATTATGCTCATATGAAATGACTCCCTTTTTCAGGTCCTCCTGGGTGAACTCTGAAGACTCAATCCCACTCACAATAATCTTGCCGTTGCTGGGTGGCGTTGTGATCTGGAACTTGATCTCACTGTCATCTCTGACGTCCATGTTGGAGTCAGCGCTCAACAGTGTGGTGTTAAGGGTCTTGGTGCTTCCATGGTCGATGACAATGATTGTGTTGTTTACAACTCGCAGGTAGGGCTCACCTGCCTGGATTTCAAGCAGCGCAGTGGTCTTGTGAAAGCCATCTGACACCTGCAGCGGGAAGCGTTCCCGGTCTGCTCCGTGGTGAATGAAGAGGATCTTCTTATCTCTCAGGTCGGCTTGTGTGAAACGGAAAAGGGGCTGCGAGGGATTAGATGTTGAGACAATGTTTCCTGAGAGGATTCCCTCACGGGCGTAGACAATTTGGGTGTCATTGAAACCTGAGTCGTCGTCCTTAAACTGGATGACATCTGTTGTTAGCAGGCGCTGACCGTGGCGGACTATATTGAAGAATTTGTCCACAACCCTCACAGGAGCATGCTCGTTCTTGGATTGGATGGTTATCCTGAAAACATCGTTTATTGTTTCTTGATTGTCTTGACTTTCTGCTGAAAAACGGAACTCATCACTGCTTGTCTTGGAGCCATCGTGCTTGTAAATAAGCCTGTTAGATTGGAGGTCCTCATTACTGAATACTCTTATTGCCCCCTCAAATCTAGGCTGCCCGGGAGGGGAGTCCCTTATCAATCTTCCGTACTTTGGACCCTGTGTGACTCGGTACACAATATCTGTAGAACCTGCAGAGTGCATCCAAAGGAATTTGTTGTTCAGAGTATGCTCACCACCCTGCAACACAAACAGCCTTTCATTGGTCAAAACTGGAGCAACTGGAGCATCGGCGTTGGCGAGGATGGTAATTGGGAAGGTGTACAGAGGGGAATACTGATCATTCACTATGACTCTGAACTGGAACTGGTCTATGCTATCCACAGCTCTTTGCACAGGCACCCTGTAGCTAACTGTATTTTCTAAAATGTCCTTCTGTGTGAAGATGTCACCCTCAGCCAACTCTGTGTCTGACAGCTGCAGACTGCCAAGTGTTGGAAGCTTGACAAGGATGTATTTGACAGTTTCTGGATCTACGTTTTCCCCTATCACTTCGGCTTGAAGCTCTGTGGATCCAATTGTTTGCTCTTCACCAGCATCCATTTCTAGCGGGACCATAGTGGAAACTTTTACTTGAGCAGGGATGATATTGACTAAGAAGGTGTTGTTCCAGAGGGAGAACTTCCCCAAGTGGACATCAAACTGAATTTGTTCGCTCAAAGTTTCTTCCTGGTTTCTCGAGTCTGTGCTAATGTATCTCAGCTGATTTTGATCTAGGTCTGACTGATGGAAAGTTGTAACCTGCCTGTATATTCCATCGCTTGTCATTATCTGAAGTTCTCCAAATATCAGAGGCTTAGTGATGTTATACATGACATCTCCATTACGCGGATGAGCTATGACAGCAAGATTTTGAACACCCATGGACGTGTTTGTTCCTTGAACCAAGTGGAGGCCAGTGTTGATGACAATAGTCATATGTGGCTGTGTCACAGAAAACTTAAAAGTAGTTGAATGGCTTTCTGATTGCCCATCAGACACCTCCAGGGTAATTTCACCAGCACTACCCCCTCTGTGAACAAAATAGATATTTCCATCTTTCAATTCTCTGCAGGTGAACTCTGAGATGCTTCTTCCTGGCTGTTGACCGTTTTCTAAGTAACCAACTTCCATTGAAGGCTCTGAGGATACAGTCACTACTAATTGATCACAGCGGCTGTCAGAATCTGTGATTTTAATAAGGCTTGGACTCAAACGAGTTCTTCCGTTTGCTGTAAGGGTGATTTCTCCTCCGCCAAGTTGTGGTATGTCATTAACGGGAAGAACTTCAACTGGAAGGACATACTCCTGAGAAGTTTTCAAACATTCAGGGAGGAAGTCATCACTTTGAACAACAACCTGCAGCTGGATTAGATCTGTATGCCGTTCATTTCCATCATGCATATACTTGATCTTCTTATTGACAATATCGAGAAGAGTGAACTTTTGTGTGCGTCTTGAGTTTGTGTTCATATCAACCAAGCCATACAGGGGATCAGTCTGGAGAGTAAATATGATCTGAGACTCTCTCAGTCCTGCAGCACTGAGGTCAAATGTGGGGAGTAGGTTGTTGATATCAATTAAAGCTTCTCCACCTTCAGGCACGAGAAGTGTAGTGACATCAAGAAGTTTTGATACATTTCTGTATATCTCTGGTGTGTCATCTGTTGGATAGCAATACTGATCAATGATGTCTATATCAGCATATTTCATTTGAACAGGGGAAGAAGTTGTAGTTGTGTCTGTGTCATAGTAACTTGAGTAGTCATAGTCCTCTCCTTCACATTTAACATGAATATCTTTGGTGATCAAAGCATCCTGCAGGCTTCTATCCTTCTGATTAACTTTGATTTCTCCCAAACAACCAATGAAGGATTCGGCTGTCATTTCTTCCTCTACTTGACTTAAGGACCCGCTCTCACGAAACACATCCTTCATTCTCCCCTGGATGCCTCCCAAATACAAGTTTCCAACCAAATCCAATTGTTGTGATGAATCAAGAGGGAGCGAGGAAGACTGGCTATCTACATTGATGACAAATGAATCCGGACTGACTTGAACCTTAACTCTATGCCACTGATCATCATCCAGCTGCACCTGGGTATTCTCCAGGATCTCCAAGCCATTTCCGACGTCCAGCATACCTTTGAGAAAGCCTTTCACAACACCAACAGCTACAAAGTCAGACTCTCTGCCAGGGTGGAAAAGAAGTAGAGCATCCTCGATGGTTGTCTTCATTAGGAATTCGAGGGCCCTCGGGGCACCACTAGCCCCGCTCCAGGTGGGGAAAGACACAAAGGAATCAGGAGTGCTGAAACTAATTGCCTCCCCATCACCAGCCTCAAACTCAGTGCTGCAGGATTCCTTCGTGTGTTGGCAGTCTTTATACACTGCGCTGAGGATATCAAACTGGTGGGACTCAAATTTGACCTCAGTCATGCAGCCACGGAAAGGGGGAATGGCATTGCTGAGGTAGGGAGTATCCAAGTCTCCTGTTCCTCCAAGCCAAATGCCCAGGTCAATATTTAGCTGTTCTTCATCATCCTCCACAGGAACATACGTCGAGAAGAGCTCATCAATGGTCATGGTGAGTTTGCCGTCTTGCAGTGTGAGGGAGACTTTGTGCTCCAGAAGGTTGTTCAGCTGAACTCCTTGGGATGAAGAAAGTGTCACCTCGTCATTCCCCATGTTCATCCGAGCCTAAGGGAAAATAAACATATGTAATTGTTGTATTCATACATTGAAATAACTAAATATTTGCAGCCTTTGTACATGCACATCGTGACACGTGTTATTAATGCTTGTGGTTTTGGTTGGTAAAGTTAATATTCAACCAATGGGCAGCACATCCATGGGATTTATTTCTACAACATCCATTTACTGTGATGTGTGTCCTCACAACAGAGATCTGCATTTGTAATGAATACATTATGAATGCCAAGAAGTAAGACATTTCATATGTAATGTTTTAGTGATTTTATAGCAAATTAATGATTAGGTTGTTATCAAAAGGAATAATAACATTTCTTCCATTTTTATATGCTGAGCATTTTCACTGTTATATTTTATGCTTATCCACTTCTGCTGGGCTTTTGAAATGATTTTTGAAAACTCTATTACCAATTAAGGTGTGATTTTACGGTCAAATACACAGCTAAAGTATTCATTTATCATATTTTTTAGGCATATCATTTGATAATTACGTTTGGTTCGATCATTATTGGTGGTAACAAGAACCTTCTTACCTTGACGTCAACTTCAACAACGTTGAATACAAATGTTTGTATTTTTGTGCCTGACTGCACTTTTTACTGGCTGTAAAAGACTATTTATATAAAATGGTGATGATGTGTTATCTTTTATTCTTGTAACTTATTTACAGTTTTATACACATTTCCGAGATGTTGTGGCAGATCTATAAATATATTTTTATTTTGTTTACTAAAACATTTCAGACTTCTCCACACTTTGTTAATCATCCACCTGTATTTTCCCATTCTGCAGCTCAAGGAACAGGTAGTCCTCCTTCCCTGCAGCCAGTAGCAGCAGCCCGCTGCGCCGACTCGTCTTGATCTGCAGAGACAGGTGGAAGGAGGAGACATCTTGGATGGCCTGTAAACTGCAGTGGCTGTCCCCAAAGTAGGATACTGTGAAGAGGGAAAAAAAAAGTCAGCTTTGAAAATGTGTGTTTACAAAACAAATGGATTCATATCTTATTTGAATTTATATTTGAACTTTCTCTACTGTGACCAACAAATGATTTCTTTTTTTAATTTACTTTTTCCATTTTTTTATGGATAATATTTAATTAGCTTTGTTGTATTGCAAACAATCACTTAATTATTGCTCCAATGCTATGCATAGGGAACGTATCAGAATTGTTCACAGTTTGTCACCCAAGAAATACGCATTTTTCTTCAGAATTACATTTTTGAATCAAAACAAATAGGCCACTTTTTTCAGTTTTTCCATAAACAATTTTAAATGCCTGACCTCACAGATCACTGCATTCCTTTAGCAACATCACACTTGTGCATAAGATGCTATACATGTATCCTACAACTGCAGAATGGCAACACAGTGAATTCTAATGTGGGAGAAACCAATTACTGTTTATGAGCATTTATCTGCATCTCACGTTACAGTGCAACTTGCTCGAGACTGATTTGTATATTATCAGGTGTCCTACAGCTGCTCCTGGCTGAGGGGAGCTCCTCTGGCCTCAAAGGGATTCTCTCACTGAGACATCAGTCATTACCCCTGCAGAGGCTTTCCGGGCATATAGAGTCCTGGGGCGCAGGATTTCCCAGGCTTGAGCTGTCAAGTTTCCAATGAAATGCAAATTCAGCCACCTGCTTCGGACTGTGCTCTGCGAGGCCCTCGACAAAATGTAAACCACGGAGGAAGTCAATTATTTCCCAGTGCACATGCTCTGAAATTAAACTGGACCACCTCCAAGACCTCCGTTTCCTCAGCATTCGTTTTCCATGGCCTTAGCCAAGAGATATAGAAAGGGGGCTTTCCATTAGCCACCCACTCACCCTCACAGGGGACAAGACACAGCATCTCATTGGAACATAGCGAAGAAGGCAGTCTTCTGATCACACAATGCTAATGCTCTGAAATAGTGAAGCAGAGCGAGGCATTGCTGTGTCGAAGATAGAACATTCCTCTGAGATCACGTGGACAAAAATATTCCATCAAAATCAACAGTAGCATCTAGTAGCCTAGCAGGGCTGGATTCCAAAGAGGCAAAGATCTTGCAAAATAACTTCTCAGACAAGACTCAGAGTTAGAAAAAAATAAGATATGAAACATTCCCTTTCATAGCTATAAATGGAAAAAGTATTTCCTGAAGACTCTATTAGGAGGTGTGGGAGCAAATGGGTGCGTGTATGTGTGCCTTTGAAGGGCAGCTTGTCTCTGTGTTGCATTCTACATTAACGCCACGCTGCCAACTTCAAAAACACTGGAGGGTACATTTGTCCTTTGGTTTTTTACAATCCTGCAAATGAACCCCTCCATCCCAGAACTGGAACAAAGACAATTATTTTGATGTCTGCAAGGACGAAACAGAGCTTTTATCATCGTGCCCATGCTTTTGTGATTTAGCTAAGAGGTGTTTGCTTTTGGTCTCAAGGCTGAACTGTCACGAACAAAGTCAGTGATGAACAGTCTCAGCACAAGGACAAATACTCAGAGACATTCGATTACACTGCTGCACAGCATTGGTCTCCTGCAGCCAAAGAAACGTCATTTGGGCATCTCTCAGAAATAAATATCACAGGAAATGTTCTTTGACATTATCACATTTTGTCATATTATGCAATTTCTCAAATATGTTCTAAAAGGAGTTAGAGAAAACCTTAAAAACTAAAGATCCTTCCTGGTTATTCAAAATGAGAATGATGCTGAACATGCACATTGTATGTGTATTACTGAATCGAAGGAATTATCACAGATACTTATCATTTATTTTCACAATGTCACTCTTCAGGGGCTATTGTCGTTAGCTTTTACTAACTATGCCAGAGGCTCTTATGATATAGTTCAGAGAGTTTCTTGTAAGGCGAAGGTATTTCAAACGAAAGACTACTGCTAATTGCACAAGAGCCTTCAGGCTGAAACTGAAAAAATGGGGGAAGAGAATCTTTTCTTACAGGCAATTGCATTAACAAAGAAAATCGCAATGAGCTCCATGGTTCTTAAACCCGAGCTTTTGTCGGATTGTTCGCTGAGCATGGGGATAAGAAGCTGAAGGAGAGAGCGATGCCAAGACAATTCTGCCTGGGGATTTTCTGGTTCGTATTCAGCTTGCTGCAGTTGCCTTGAGGAAAAGCAGCACATTTTCAAATGATACACACAAAAGCTTTGCTCTCTGCAGTGTACCTGGACCTGGAAATCATTAGTTCCCCAGCTAAGCTGTAAAGCTCTGTTCAGAATTGGCATTGTGTAGGAAAAGCACATTTTTAATATGATATCTATGTAATTGCCCTACTCTGTTACACTTCTTTTGTCTCTCCACTCTTGCACCTCTTCTGTGTCCATACAGGTGCAAAAATTCCTCTCATCTACAGGATGGAAAAACACAACCATGTGAGGCTTTTGACTTTTAGAATGTGCATCAAAAGACTCTTGTCATCTTCTTGATCTTAGCACTATAATTGTTCATCTTCAAGGGTCTTGGGGCCTGGTGTATATAGGATGTAGCCGAGGTGTTTTTGCTGACAAGCCATCATTATGTGTATAGGATCACCCCTGAAGCTGTGAAGCTGCTGCCACGCTCGGTGTCAGTCTTCATGTGGAGGTTTAACCACCGAAGAGGACAGCGTCTGATCCCCTTTAGCGACCACACCCCTCCTCACACTACTTTATTGTGCGTCAGGCAGAATCTTGGTCCAGGGCCAATGCAGATGGCTATAATTTGATGACTGACTGCGCTTGTATTTATAATGTCCTGAGGAAACCGAGTCTTCCTCTCTTTCACAAGCCAGTGAATGAATTACCCTGTTGTCTTTCTTCCCTTTCCTCCTCCTCCTCCTCCTCTTCTCCATCCTCGTTTGGTCTCAATCTAGCAACACATGTCCGGAAGAGACAGACGCTGACCACAAGTGCAGGGAGATTGGAGACATTCAGGCGACTTTTTTGTCCTATGACTTGACTGTGCCTGTGAGTCAGAGTCACTTCAGGCATATTTTAAGTTTGTGTGAAGATGCGGCAGAAAGATTTGAGGTTTTTGGATACTTTTGATGGCCTGATTGTATCCGTCAACAAAGAAAATGTGACTTACTTCTCTATAATGTTATGCAGAAGTGAAAGAGTGTGTTCCTCTACCACAATGATGCCATGGTAACGCTGCCTTGAATCTAAACAAACCACCTACATGTGTAACCTGTGGTTAAACCATGGTTGGCTTCACTAAAAATAGGGACTATGTTGGTCATTTGTTTCCTTTGCTGGGCTGTGCCACTGTTACAACAGGGCAGAACAGCTTCTGGGTATAATTATGTGAAGGAGAGCGTGTTGTTAACCATAGATAGAAATGGAGAGCTTTTAAGGCTGAAATGTCATTCACCATATGGCAACACTCTCATCACCATTATGAACAACCCCAAAGGTCAATAGCACTTGAGATTTGTGATAAACAACACAAGAGAAATATTTGGTTATGTCTGCAGATAGCAACCCAGTGGACTATTAAGCACATGGATTAAGGCTGGCTCGATTCTATAATTGATGAGTAATCTTTAACAATTAATAGATTGTCATTCAACCAATCAAAGTGCTGTCCATTTACTAGTTTTCAGTCTCTGAAATGTGCAAATGTGCTGCTTTTTCTGATTAATATAATTGCAAGTTCAATACCGTTGAGTCAAGGACTATTTATTGGACAAAACAAGTATCTGAATAATCTCAACAATAGATTGCTCAAACATCCCCACATTAATCAATAATAAAGGTATTCATTAGTTGCAAATCTTTAATGTACAAAAAAATATTTTATGTGTCAGAAACTGTTCATTTAGTTAGTGTTTGTCCTTTCTGCTGGATAACCAGAGCCATACAGTCTTACCAGAACATATCCTTATACAAAAATGTATCTTGCCTCTTACAAAAAGTCCTTATTTTCCCAGCATTATCCTACAAATCCCCAGATTTCCTTTTCCCTCTTGTAACAATCATTTAACAATTAAAAATAATTCTTCACAGGAAGAAGAAGAATCCTGATTTAGGTTTATCACTACAGAAATTGTTTTACTTAAGAATGTAAGTTAAATACGAAAAGTGTAAAAAAAAGTCTCAAAGATGTGACCATTTAGTGATAAATGTTTGCTGTTGACTTATTTTTGTGTTAATATCTGTTTATTTGGATTTATATGTATTACAATGTACCTGAACCCTCGATAACCAGAAAGCCAACAACAATTTATATTCCCACACTTATCACTTGGCGCTTTTACAGGAAGTGATTATGTTTGTGCAACATGTTTACAGACCTGACTCTGAATACAGAAGTCTGTATAAAACACACTGCTAACTCCATTACCGTTAAACAGCAGAAAGCAGAGCCACAACTCTACATACTTTGACAGCGCTGCTTTAAAAAGAACCCCCCTTCCCCGCTGACTTTTCAGAAGTCACCAGGGACACACTTTTACAAGCTTTAGAGAGCCATTTCTCAGGCCTAGACTATGTCAGTGTGAAAGCAAACACAGCATCATTTTAGACCTCTTTCAAATCCCAACCTACCTCCGCATCCCTCTGAGACCCTCCAACACTAGGCAGAGTGAAGAGGTACAATACACCAAAAAAAACAGGCTTGTGGAGCTCAGCGGGTGGCCTTCTCCCAGGCGATAATTAAAACGTTTCAGCCTCGCTCTCTGTAAAACGCATACTAACACAACAGACAAGGGGTGGCAGCAGAAACGAAAAAATTATGACCTTTCCTTGTGAAAGGAGAATGTCAATGTAATGTAATTTCACCTTAGGAAAATGGACCTGTGAGAAAAGGGAGGGAAAGCATGGAAAGGATGTGAAAGACTCAGTGTTGTCTGGGTTGGTGCTGTTACTGCGAAAGGGGGTCTGAAAGGCTGGGTTTCTATACAAAATGAAAAGGAAAAGACCACCTTCCTTTTCAGAAAAAAAC